GTTGACTTTAAAGTGCAGAAAGCCTTTTCTCTTGATTTTACCTCTCTCACTCACTTATACTTTTAGTATCCATAGACATGTACTATTAAGAATTGTAAAGCAATAGTTTTTATCTTTGATTCCTATAAAGTATTTGACAAATCATCATCTTTTTTTTGTGTGAGAGCTTGCAACTTTTGGATCAGTGTGGCCAAATACAGCAATTAACCCTCCAGGTTCTCCAGGACCAAATATTAAATATTTTAAGATTCTCTTTTGTTTCTAGAGTCTGTATACTGTATATTAGTGAATGGTGTAGACTGTAGAGGGGTCTGGTAAATGACAAGTAAATGACTGGATAAAAAATCCATATTATAAATATATAAACGGTTTTAGTCACCAATAGTAGATAGATAATTAGATAGATAGAAAATACAAAGATGGATAGATAAATTGATAAAAGAGATGAAATAATATGGACAGATATACAGACCGAAAGAATGATCGAACAAATATTGATGGTTAAATAGACATGGAAAACTATTTTAGTGGAAGGAAAAAAAAGGATAAAAATATATGGTTACTTAAATAGATAGTTATATAGATTGATAAATTGAATATTGATTTTTTAAATACATATTTATTAATATATATATATAGATACATATAGATAGATAGTTGTTCAACAAATTTTGAGACGTGAAACAATTTTTTAATAAATAATTCTGTTTTGAATATAATGTTAAGTTTAAAAACTGAAATAGATATATATATATATATAAATAGATAGATAGATACATCTTCTACCTTAAAATATGAGAACATTTTCTATTGTTTAATTATTAAGATAGGTTATTGCTGAATAGATAGATACATACATAACATATATAGATAGATAGATAGACGGATAGACAAATTAGAAATGCATTCAATTTGGAATTAAAGAACAACAAAATCTCTTAAAATAATTTTTTCGCATCTTAGGTTTTTTTAATGCAAAATTTATGGTTGTGCAATGTGCATGTAGAATTGTAGATGCATAAATTAAATCTAAGGGGTGAACAAATATATTTCTCTACGATTTTAGCGGTTTGCCCTTTGTGTTTCTATTAGGCTTTGATCCGTATGAACTGAAGTATAATTGTATTGTATTTGAAACTGAGCCCTCTCATTGGTCGTTTCTCGTTCGTGGCGGCAGCAAGTCAACCAATCAGAGGTATGATGTGAACAGGGTATATAACGATCTCTAATAAATGAATAATTGAGTGCACATTTACATACACTTAATTCTTGATACATGATAATTATTGATTAAATTCAGGTTTAAATATAATTGAATAATTGTGCAAATACAATTCAAGTAAAGGTATGTTTATTCTTGCTTTTGATAAATAAACTATATTGTTATTTTAATATATAAAGCTTTAAATTTAAACTTCAATCGACGACATTACATTTCATAGACATTTTAAAGATATTTAAAAAAAACATAATTTTGGAAAAAAGGAAAATAAGGAATTGAGTCTTTGTCACAAACTCTTATATCTTTACAACCAAATGTCGTAGACCTTAGACATTTCAAACTATGACTTTTGTTATATCAAATAATCTAAATTTAAAATATCAAAGGTTCACATAATTTGGTTGTAGAGATATAGTTATTTGAAGATTGGGATTTGTGGCAAAGACTCAATTTCTTTACAATATATTATCTATTAATCTTCTTTGTCTTTGAAATGTGCTGTCTATATAAGGTCCTATATATTAAATTTCTATTAACTCCGTACGAAATGTCCTGTCTATAATCTAGGAAATGTCATATCTCTGAAACGTCCTATCTCTAGCTGAAATGTTGCAAAGATAAAGGGATTAGAAAATCAGAGTTTGTGGCAAAGACTGAATTCCTTTTATCCCCATAACTGAACTGGACGATAACTGACAAGATAAAAAATTCGAAACAAATTTCTCCCAAAATCCAAAAGAAGTTTGGAAATTCGGAAGATTTTTTTCGGATACATAATAAATTATTCATTAAATTTAAATACACATTTGTAAAGTATAAATCACATCAAATTAATGTAAAATTGACGTTAGATTCATGTTCAAATCATTTATGTTTCTAATCATTACTCCTTTTCTTGACAAGCTCTTGAGGAGATACTTGTGTGAAATATTTGTACAGAGGTAGAATATATGCGAAAAAAATTTCTAAAATGTAACGTGTGCGCAAAACTAGAAAAGCTACGAGGTTACAAAGTCTTGTCGGTAATGTCGCTATGCCTGCTTCTATTAAGTTATGTACTTCAAAATCATGATTCCATGAAACTGTAAACATATTTTTTTTTATTGTTAAATCATTAAGTAAACCTTTATATTACTATATATATAAAGCAGAAAACTTAGTTCAACCTTGTGTCATATTTCAAGAGCTTCCCGTCGTCTTTACAGCCTCATTCTTTGTGGGTAACCCTGTATAAAAATTTCTAAACATTTTTGTTCCATTAGTTATATCCCTTCAATAAGAGAGGTTTTGATTAAACAATATATAAGATTTCAAACTTAAGTGCAATCTGCTTTAGTTTAACGTGATCTGGGTTAACCCTCTTCAATTTTTCATGTTGTTTGTAAAATATTTAAGATATTCCGAGGTTTTGTGTTTAGTTTTTCTACGAGGTTGCGAGATTTCATATGTAGCAGATTTTTTGATAAATTAAGATGAATGAAGATGCATGAAGATGAATAAAGATGAATGAAGATAGATGAATGAAGATGAATGAAGATGAATGAAGATGAATGAAGATGAATGAGGATGAATGAAGATGAATGAAGATGAATGAAGATGAATGAAGATGAATGAAGATGAATGAAGATGAATGAATATGAATGAGGATGAATGAAGATGAATGAATATGACTGAAGATGAATGAAGATGAATGAAGATGAATGAAGATGAATGAAGATGAATGAAGATGAATGAATGAAGATGAATGAAGATGAAGAAAGATGAATGAAGATGAATGAAGATGAATGAAGACTAATGAAGATGAATGAAGATGAATGAAGATGACATGAAGATGAAGGAAGATGAATGAAGATGAATGAAGATGAATGAAGAAGAATGAAGATGAATGAAGATGAATGAAGATGAATGAAGATGAATGAAGACGAATGAAGATGAATGAAGATGAATGAAGATGAATGAAGATGAATGAGCATAAATGAAGATAGATGAAGATGAATGGAGGTGAATGAAGATGAATGAAGGTAAATGAAGATGAATGAAGATGAATGAAGATGAATGAAGATGAATGAACATAAATGAAGATAGATGAAGATGAATAGAGATGAATGAAGATGAATGATCAATGAAGATGAATGAAGATGAATGAAAATGAATGAAGAAGAAGGAAGATAAAATGAAGGTGAATGAAGATGAATTCAAAGTGATTTATTCACTTTGAGATGAATGAGGAAAGAGGATGAATGAAGATGACATGAAGAAGGTCGGAAAGTTCAGTGGAGGGGATGTTCCGTGTAACGTGTTGACTATAGAACGATGAAACAATCAATCAATTTAAAGTTTTGACAAAGACGACCATCACTTCGCAGTATTTAGGAATTATACTCGGTGGTACACACGTGCAATGCGCTCGAATATATTTTTCCGAATTGATTATTTAATTTGTGAAAATTTCGTGATTTATGACTGTTCGTAATTAAAATGCGTATTGGTTAAGATTTAACAGTATTCTTTTACAGTATAAAAGAATAATTTTAATTTTAATTTTAAAAGTTGTAAATTAATTGATAAGTTTTGTGCCGGTGTCTTTCATGGAGACACCTTCCCCTCAAGTTTTAAACATTTCAACACCATGTTAGACATGTTAAGCAATGTTATGACATTTTTCGATATTTATTAACGTATTTTGATTTTTAAAACATATTTAAAATTATCTTTTTCTCGAGTAAATATAAATTGTTTGATGATTTAAAAAAAAGAAGACTTTCGTGAGGAAATAACTTTTTTTGCCTTTACCCCCTTTAAAATACATTTCAGAACTAAATGCGTAGGGTCCGTCCTAGTATACGATTTTTGGACCCCCCCCCCGCCCTCCTATCTATTTTGTACATGTCTACTTATTTTTCAGCAAATTTATTATTATCTATTTTTTATTATTTAGGGTTAGGTTAAGTTAAAACACTTTCTGGGCCGAGCGCTGTGGCCACATGTCTTACATTTAAGATCCTCTTACATTTAAGGTCCATGTACAAAATTGATAGGGTCCGTCTTAGTATACGATTTCTGTTCCCCCCCCCCCTATAAATTTTGTAATTGGCCACGTATTTTCAGCAAAATTATTATGATATATTTTTTATTATTTTAAGGTTGGGTTGAGATAATTTCTGGGCCGAGCGCTGCGGCTAGGACATGCCAGGGGGTCGAGCTCAGCGGCTAGGACAGACGAGGGGTCCGAGCGCTGCGGCCACATGACCATTTATATCCATGTACGAAATTGATAGGAGGGGGGAGGCCTACCCGGCTAGGGGGCCGGGTGTTAGGTTCTTCATGCTATTTAGAATTAGGTCTTGCATGGTTTCAAAGATTTGTTTGTCCTAATGCAGGGTATGCTATATAAACATTTTCCGGAGATACATGAATAATTTTGATACCTGTCCTAGAAAGTTTTTTTTTCCAACCGCCCCCCCCCCCCTCCTTCCACCCCATTATATTTTGTACAATAGCTTCAATATACAGAGCGTCCCATATCATATTTGATTATCTCCAAGTTTTTACGCCAAAATAAACCCATAATACTCGAAAAACCTAGCATCATTTTCCACGAGAAAATTCTTAAATTAGTCTTATTAAATTTTTCAAAATGATTTATGCTTCTTAAATTTCATGATTAGTCCCGAAAATCGTAATTTAGACCGATTGACGATCTAATATGATATGGGACACCCTGTAGATTAAAAGGGTTTCGATTATCATGATTTTACGCCTTCTTAATTTCAGACTGTGAGGAAGTGTAAAAAATGCCGAGTACGATAACCCTACCTCCCAAGGAAAATGCGTTGTTTAAACGTATTCTCAAATGCTACGAGCAGAAGCAGTATAAGAACGGACTCAAGTTCGCCAAGCAGATCCTCTCCAACCCGAAGTATGCAGAGCATGGAGAAACCCAGGCTATGAAAGGATTGATCCTGAATTGTCTAGGACGGAAAGAGGAAGCGTACGAGAATGTGAGGAAGGGGTTGACCAATGATCTCCGATCCCACGTGTGTTGGCATGTCTTCGGTCTCCTCCAGAGGTCGGATAAGAAGTACAGTGAAGCGATCAAGTGTTACCGGAACGCTTTAAAGTGGGACAAGGATAATATGCAGATTCTCAGAGACTTGTCGTTACTACAGATACAGATGCGAGATCTAGAGGGATATAAGGAGACGAGACATCAACTTTTCCAGCTCCGACCCACTCAGCGTGCTTCATGGATCGGGTTTGCTATGAGCTATCATCTCCTTGAAGATTACGACATGGCGCTCAAAATCTTGGAGGAGTTTCGTAAGACTCAGAAGAAGCCTGGATATGATTACGAGTACAGTGAGCTTCTTCTCTATCAGAACATGGTTGTGAGGGAAAGTGGAAATATATCCGGGGCACTCGCACATCTTGACGAATACGAACCCGCGATCTGTGATAAGATTTGTTTCAGGGAAATCCGTGGCAAGTATTTGCTCGAGCTCGGCAGGTTTGACGAAGCTGATGCAGTTTATGTTGAATTGTTGAAGAGAAATCCTGAAAACCATGAATACTACAAGCAGCTGGAGCTGGCCAGGAAGGCGGAGACGGAGGAGGACAAGCTGAAGATCTACGACGAGTATGTTGAAAAGTTTCCTAGAGCTCAAGTTCCAAAACGTCTTCCTCTAAATTTCTTGACAGGAGCAGAGTTTGAGAATAGACTCAGGAAATACTTCATTGCAGCCATTAGGAAGGGAGTTCCCCCACTCTTTGTTGATTTAGAAGCTCTATACTCGGATCCCGTGAAAGGCAAGGTTCTGGAGAACATGGTTTCAAGTTTCATGGAAAACCTGCTAAAGTTTGGTAGTTTTGACGCCGACAGCAAGGTTCAGGAGCCCCCAACCTGTCTCCTCTGGACCTACTACTACATGTCACAGCAGTATGATCTAAAAGAAGATTATAAAAGTGCCCTAGATCTTGTTAACCAAGCCATAGAGCATACTCCAACCCTCATAGAACTATTCACACTGAAGGGTAAGATCTACAAGCATGCTGGGAACCCTGATGAAGCTGTCAGATGCCTGGACGAGGCGCAGTCCATGGATACCGCGGACAGGTATATCAACTGTAAATGCGCCAAGTATATGTTGCGCGCCAACAAGACTAAGGAAGCAGAGGATATGTGCAGCAAGTTTACACGTGAAGGTATCCCCGCTATGGAGAATTTGAATGAGATGCAGTGTATGTGGTTCCAAAGTGAGTGTGCAACTGCGTTTCAGCGGTTAGGCCAGTACGGAGAAGCTTTGAAGAAATGTTACGAAATAGACCGACATTTTACGGAAATTATTGAAGATCAGTTTGATTTCCACACCTACTGCATGAGGAAAATGACTCTGAAGTCATATGTCAGTTTATTAAGACTTGAAGATGAGATCAGATCTCACAAGTTCTATGAGAAGTGCGCCAAGGTAGCAATAGAAACCTTCCTTCAGTTGTTCGACAAACCTCCAGTGGATTCAGGGAATGAGAATGAGATTAACTCTGATGAATTAGATCCTAGTGAGATGAAGAAGAGGATGAATAAGGCAAAGAAAGCCAAGCGGAAAGCTGAATTGGAGAAAGCTGCTCTGGAGCAGGAACAGAAGAAGAAGGAGCTGTTTAACAAGAACAAGAAGAAGGGAGGAGATGATGATTTGGAGAACTCGGCTAAGGATGAACTCATCCCGGAGAAACTGGCTACGCCTGAGAACCCATTGGATGAAGCGGCCAAGTTTCTGGAACCACTTCTTCAGCTTGCTAAGAACAAAGTTAATACTCATTTACTCGCCTTCGAAATTTACTACCGAAAGGGTAAGGTTCTCATGATGCTCCAGGCAATAAAGAAAGCTCTGGATTTGGAACCTGAAAACCTGGACCTACACTTCTGTATTACCAGGTTTCTCGACTTTATCTCCAAGTCGGAGAAGACTATGAAGGAGCCCGTGAAGAAAGTGCTAAATCAGTCAATGCCAGCTCAGCTTCAAGGAAAGACTGCTGGTGATATCAACGCTAAGTTTATCAAGGAGAATGCTGGTAACCTCTACGCCATGTTCCTTGGAGGAACACTGATGGTGAAAGTGAACCCCAGCGAGACCAAGAAAGCTTTGAGTTTGGTGACAAACCTAGATCCATCTCTCACGAGCCGTAACATCAAAACCTGCACATTTATCCTTGAAGCCATGAAATCTGGAGAGTTTGGTTCCGAAGGGAAGGACGCAGTCTCCGGGTATAAGGAATCCTGTAGTAAACTGTTCCCTCTCACGCTCTGCTTTATGGATAAGATCCCCGTCTACATGGATAAGGTGGTGGAGGATCTTGAAGGAGCGCACATACAGGATTAATCCTCCTAGCCTCCTGGATATTTAGTCAACTTTATTCAATCCTTCTAAGTTTGAAAATTATGTAAACTGGAATTAAAAATACGTTTCCTGAAAAAAGTCAAGTAAATTCAAATCTTGATTAAAACTACCACTTCCCAGTTCAATTTTTTCACCATGACAACTTTTTCATCAGATGGGGAGGATAAAAATTGTAGCTCACGATCAGTTTAAATCATGTTTTGTAATAGTTTCGTTTTAAAACTGGTATCATTGTTATAATTAATTCTGTTGTAAACCAAATCAAAACTGATATTAAATTTAATTAAATATTAATGTTTGCTTTTATGCTGAGGATGAATTTGTTGGACAAGCATCGACAACATTTTTTATTTGACTTAATTTTCAGAAAAATGAATTCTTACGAGGCTATTCTCTCATCTGCCAGCACAAAGTTCTCGAAGCTAGTGAAGAAACCAGAAAAGTTTCTTGAACCAAGTCCAGAGCTTTTTGAAGAAATTAAACTCCTAAACAAGGATAGTTCAATTCTGTTCTTAAACGTCTTTATTCCAGAATCTTCTAAATATAGATAAGGGATTATTTAAAATTTTTGTTTTGTTTTTGTCTTTAGATTATTGGATTTAGAATAGATTCTTCAGAATTTTAAATCTGTATCCATCTTTTCTGCTTTTCATCAAGTCAAGCTTCATTTTAAATTTTCTATTGCATTATTCTCTTTTTTTTTGTGTGGAGTTTTCTTCATTTTGGATAGAATGTTTTATGTCGTCAAGAAATTATATTTTGGATAGAATGTTTTACAGCGTCAAGAAATTATATTTTGTATAGAATATTTTATATCGTCAAGAAATTATATTTTGGATAGAATATTTTATATCGTCAAGAAATTATATTTTGGATAGAATATTTTATATTGTCAAGAAATTATATTTTGGATAGATTATTTTACATCGTCAAGAAATTATATTTTGGATAGAATATTTTATATCTTCAAGAAATTATATTTTGGATAGAATATTTTATATCGCCAAGAAATTATATTTTGTATAGAATATTTTACATCGTCAAGAAATTATATTTTGGCCAAAGAAATCCCAAATACTTGAACATTTACAGTTGATCGAACCACATTCGATTTAATTCCAAGATTAATTTAAGTATTTCTAAATTAATTTTAATAAATAATCTTGCAATCAACTTGTAAATTATTTTGATTCTCGCATTGCCCATAATTAAAATTCCTCTAATGATATTTCAAGATGAACTTATCTAACCCTAAAAGTTCGATTTTTAATATTCCCCGTAAGAAGTTGAACTGTCCCTGCAGGTTCTCTACGATGTGGGAAAGCTGACAGAAGAGCCTGATACTAAAACCCTGCCGGAACTTTATATCCAGGATTTTGACGAGGAGCAGGTTTGGACCGGGATACAGCTACAAAACGCAGAGAAACTGCAAAAATGGCGGAGTAAGTTTGCTTCCTTAAACCTGGAGGGTTGCAACCTACTGTTAGGGAGTAGGAAGAAGAAGAGTAGAACGGAGAAGGAGATTGTAGAAGATGATGAACTCGAAGATCAAGAACTCTCTGGTGAGAATAAAATTTACAAATAAAAAATAGAGACTTGGGATATTTGGCAGAAATTTGAAAAACTTTTTGAACTTTATAATTTGAAATAATCTGAACTTCATAATTTAGAATAATTTTATCTTCATAATTTAAATTTAATCTTCATAATTTAAATTATCTGAATTTGTGATCTCTACAAATTCATAATTTAAAATAATTTGAACTTAATAATTGTTAAAATGATCAACTTCATAATTCTTCCTATAAAAAACATTTCTTATAACATTCGCATTAAACTTGATTTATAAAACATTGCGCTTCTGAAAATTACCATTTATGAAATGAAAAACATTAACTACAAGAATTAGAACCATCACCTGCACGTGTTAGTTTTTTGTTGCTTGTTAAAAATAAGAAATTGAGGTAGTTCTTAATCAATAAAAACAAAGACAATGAAAGTAAGTATCACTGCTTTCAAGAAAGGCTTGGACGTGTCAGTTAATATTCGGCGACGGACAGCCGGCCTGGGTAGCCTGTTATATCACGTTTTATTTCAAAATATTTTAGAAATGGAACTCTCAGATCATGACAAAGATGAGGATGAGGAGGAGGGTGAGGTTCCAAGTAAAGATGATGACGAACTTGACGAAATGGAAGATATTCTTAATGATCCAGATTTTCAAAACATGTCCGACTCCGAAGGCGATGATCTTCCTCTGTTCGATGATCTGAGTGAGGACGAGAAGGACGGGGACGAGGAGGGAACCTACAGAGCTCAGGAGAAGAAATCTACCAGGTCCAGGGTTACAGAGGTCGACGACAAGTTCTTCAAGCTCCGGGACATGGAGGAGTTCTTAGAGATAGAGGATAGGAGGGAGGAGAAGAAGAGGAGCAAAAAGGATGAGGAGGATAGTGAGGATGAGGACGATATTGATCTATTTGATGATGTCGGAGATGATGATGAGGAGATCGGAGCTATGGGAAACCAATTTTTTCGTGAAGAGAATGAAAATGAATTATTAGAGGAAGAAATACCTAAAACTAGAAAGAAACCAGCTAAAGATGAAATAACGATATTGTTGAAGAACGGAAAGCTTGTGACTGGAGATGAGGAGGAGGAGGAGCAACACAGTGAAGATGAAAATGATGAAAATGATGAAGATGAAGGAGAAGAAGAAGAAGAAGATGAAAATGAAGATGAAAATCAAAAGGTTAGTGTAACTTAAAATAATTAAATTTAGCATACAAACACAGTTTCCAGACGTTATTGATGGACTTAAATTATTAATTTGTTCCTGTTTAGATGGACTTGTTGGGTGACAGTGATGATGAAAGTGAGAACGAACAGGCGCGAGTTTAATTTCTTATTCTATTCATTTTAGTATTCTAATAGGATTGGATTATAATTTTTATCATTTTTAAGATAGTAGTATAAAAATTCATATATTTTTTAACAAGCTCCCAAAAAATATTTTGTTTGATAATAATTTAACCCTGAAATCAGGTTGTGGAATCTAGACATGAGAAGTCCCAGGCTAGGTTGAAGGAGAAGATCAAGAAGTTGGAGGAGAAGGCTATCGGAGATAAACCCTGGCAGATGGGAGGAGAAGTTGCAGCTCCTGTCAGGTCCCACAGTTTTCAATGTCGAAATAATACTCTGTTATGTCTATTCCGTTGTATTAGGTTTAATAACGCCAAAACAGATCCTGCATCAGAGCCGTTGAGAAACTCTTGTTCTCAATCGAGAGACTGTAGTTTTCAATAATAATTGAGACTACTGGAGAGTACCGGAGGGTTCTAAATCCAGTGGAGAGAAAATTATTTCTACTGGAGAGCTTTTAAATTTTTACCAAAATATAAATTCTACCTGAGGGTTTTCTATTCCACTGGAGTACAAACTATTCATATCAGGGAGCCTTGGAATTTAAACCTAAATTAATAATCCTACCGGAGGGTTTTTTAATTCATTGGAGGGATTAGATTGTGTAGAAAAACAGGTTTGAATTTTCCCCAAAGTGATTCATATCTTACAAAAGCATTTTTGATGTATTTCTATACATTACTTGTCTGTCTTGGATTTTAGTTGTAAACAGGAAAATCTAAAAAAAAATTATTTACATTTTGCAGGTTTTCAGATATATCAGTATTAAAAAGATAAAATTATTACTCAGTAGTGTTTATAATATCAATAGTTGAAAACCCGGTAAAATATAAATCACTATGGGGAAAAATTCAAACCTTTTTAGTTCACACAGAACATTCCTCCAGTGAATTAAAAAACCCTCCAGTAGAATTTTGCTCTTTGTAAGAACTTAAATCCTCCCTATTTTGAAATGCAATTTACTCCAGTGGAAAAGAAACCCCTCCGGTAGAATTTATATTTTGGTAAAAATTTAAAAGCTCTCCAATAGAAATAATTTTCTCTCCACTGGATTTAGAACCCTCCGGTACTCTCCAGTAGTCTCCAATTATTAATGAAAACTTCAGTCTCTCTTCTCAATCCTTGTCTAAACCTTGTCTAATCCTTGTCTAAACCTTGTCTAAACCTTGTCTAAACCTTGTCTAAACCTTGTCTAAACCTTGTCTAATCCTTGTCTAAACCTTGTCTAATCCTTGTTTAAACCTTGTCTAATCCTTGTCTAAACCTTGTCTAAACCTTGTCTAAACCTAGTCTAATGTTAAAATTCAAATTCAAAAATAAATGTTTAAAAAAAACTTAACCCTCGTCTAACCATTGTCTAAACCTTGTCTAAACCTTGTCTAAACCTTGTCTAAACCTTGTCTAATCCTTGTCTAAACCTTGTCTAAACTTTGTCTAAACCTCGTCTAAACCTTGTCTAATCCTTGTCTAACCATTGTCTAAACCTTGTCTAAACCTTGTATAAACCTTGTCTAAACCTTGTCTAAACCTTGTCTAATCCTTGTCTAAACCTTGTCTAAACCTTGTCTAAACCTCGTCTAATCCTTGTCTAATCCTTGTCTAACCATTGTCTAAACCTTGTCTAAACCTTGTCTAAACCTTGTCTAATCCTTGTCTAAACCTTGTCTAAACCATGTCCTATCATTGTCTATAATGATTTATCCTTGTCTTAACCTTAATTAAATGTGTGCGCATACAGGGACTGTAAGCATGATTTCAAGTTACTCTTTGTTCAAAGATGGAAATGTCCGATTTACAACGATACCCTTGAAACCCTATCTTATCAGTAATGTGGAAGATACTGTTGGGTTTTAAAGTTTTTAATTCTGATTTTTCCTGAATGTTTTCTGCAGATAAAATGGGCAAGTCACTTAAAATTTATATGCATTGATATCTAATTAATACTTGATAAGACAAAGGTTTCAAAGGTACCGTTGTGAATCGGACATTGTCATATTTGTAGTGAAAGTAGTGGCACCATTATATTTGTAGTGAAAGTAGTGGCACCATTGATAAATGAATCCTTGGCTAAACCTTGTCTGATCCAACCCTCATTAAACCTTGTAAATATGCAGACCTGAGAACTCTCTACTCTCTGAGCACCTTGAGTACGAAGCTGGTGTGAGACAGGCTCCTGTTATAACGGAGGACGTGGCTAGAAAGCTGGAGGATATTGTAAAGCAAAGAATCAAGGATAAAGCTTGGGATGATGTTGTTAGACGGGTAATTTTGTTCTCCTCAATATTTTGGCGTAATTTTTCCGTTTTTATCTTTTTTATCTGTCTAGCTATCGTTCAGAATGCTGGAAAACAAGATTTGATATTTTTAGCTATTGATTGTACTTAATCCGCTTTTTTTTACTTTTATTTATTTTCTAATGAAAGAAAAGACTAAATTCGTTGTGAATTAAATTTTCTGTTCTTTAATTTTGTGAACTTTTTTGTAACTGGTATATCTGGTTTAACCCTTTCTCTTATTTAGGTTAAACCTATAGAGGATCCTCAGGAGTACAGGAAGAAGCTGGTGTTGGACCAGGAGAAGAGTAAACTCAGTCTAGCACAGGTTTACGAGGAAGAGTTCCTCCGGGTATCCCAGGTCAAGGAGAAGGTTCCTGTTCCTGGACTGCTAGATGAGGACCGGGAGGAGACACCGGAGGAGGTTGAACAGATCAAATCCGCCATGAGAAGTTTATTCTCTAAACTAGATACACTAACACACTTCCACTACACACCTAAACAGAAATCCGCGGAGGTTAAGATTGTGCGGAATGTCCCATCCATAGGTATAGAGGAGGTTGCCCCGGTCGGAGCAAGTAACGCCGATCTCTTAGCTCCGGCAGAAGTAGTAGACAAGGCTAAAGGAGAACTTATGACTTCCGGAGACAAGACGGCAACAGATAGAAAGCGTGAGAGAAGACAGAAGAAATTGAAAAAGAAAGCGTCTATTAGAGAAAGGGAAAAGCGTGAGAAGGAGAAAGCTAACGCAGGTGTGGAGAGTAAGATAAGTAAGGAGAAGGCCTTGAAGAACCTGGAGCAGGCGGAGAAACAAGGAAAAGTTAAAACCATTAAAGAGAAGGATAAGAATAGTTCTCTCAAATCCTCCACAGCTTTCTTCAGTATGTTACAGGACGAAGTGAAGACGCATGTTAAAGAAAAATCTTCTAAAAAGAAGAAGTTGAAGGAAGGGAAAGTTTCCTTATCCGCGTTACGATTATAAATTTTTATATTTGCAGAGAAATAATGTCGATGATTGAAGAAGTGCAACTTGGTTCCAATTAAGATAAAAATATCAAGGTTCACAGATCGAAAAGCCCTGAATTACAAGCTTAATGAACACGTTTCATTACATTTAGGTATGTTTAATTAAGTAAATTAATATAAGATCTCGCCATTTTTATTTCTTCTCGAAGATTTTATCCCTCCCCCTTTCTCCGTTCTCGCTGTACAGTGTACAAGAGGAAGAAAATGAGAAAAAAAACCTTAAACATTCCTGCTGGCAGAATTAAATATCAAAGGAAAAGACATGAGAAACTTAATTTTCTTGTTAAAGTAAACATGCTATCCAATTCCACTGTTCAGGGGAGATGATATAAGTCTTAGTGACATCTTATTTTTACAGAATGGACACTCGGAGACGGTTTACTCAAGGTTTACTCTTAGCAGGAGCTGGAGTATCCGTAGGATTGATCGCTCTGGGGATATATAGACGTAGATCTCATATAACAAGGATGGACAGAGAGATTTTTTCTCATATATCCGTAGGTGAACTGTTATTTCAAATCTTGAAGAATTTTTATAATAAAATTTTAATATTTCTACAACTGACTGCTTACTCGAATGGTTTCGAAAACGAAAATTAGGGATAAATAGTTTAGTTAAATACTTTATTACATTCTAGAACGTGGAGGACGAATTAGTTTAGTATCAAGTGCATCAGACTGGGAGAAGATATGGAAGGATGTTTCTAGTGACCTGGAGAAATTTCCCTTCCTTGGACTAGATACAGAATGGGTTAACAGTAAGGGTGAGAATAATTAAATTAATTTTTAATATTTCTGATCTATGGGTCCGCTACAAATCCACGTTATTATACCACATTCTTGTCGGATTTACTACGTAGCCAAATCCGGAATAATTCTTGTTATTGTCACCCATTTTGTGTAATAATTATAATTATTCGTGTAAGGGTGGTATAATATTATTATGCGTAGGAAGAAAGTGTAATAATAATATATTATATGTCTTGCTTTTGTTCATTAAATGCCTTATTTCAGAAAAGGATAATAATTTTGATTTAAAAAGAATCGTGGTAAAATGAAACACAAGATATCAGTTGGTAGTTTTCCCTCTTGCTTTTTACTAATGAAATATTTATATTCTGTCTTAAATAACTATAAACGTACCCAATTCAACGAATAAAATCCTATGCGCATATACAATAATTTATTCAGGCAATTATTCTTCCTTGATCCTTGATCTCAGACAATGAATCCTGGCTAGTTTATTCTTGATTTTTAAAATTTTTTTTATTGGGGGTTGTACCAATAATTGGTCTTCCTAGAATCATTAACTTATCTAAAATGGATTTATGTTTGGTACACTTTAGATCGTTAATTGATCGATTATTGTTTTTTTCGGATCTTTAATTGAACTTCAATTGTTCATTTCTATGTAGTATCTGTGAAAAAATCAAAAAAAATCTCAATAGTATTTGGATTTGAATATAGGTTATGTTGGTCCTATATCTCTGCTCCAGCTTGGAACCTTCTCAGGGCATGCTATCCTGGTCCGACTGTGTACACTAGACAAGATTCCTATCTCACTCAGGGATATTCTAGCAAACCCTGATATTATTAAGGTATTTAAACCTGATACAAGCTGCACGGAAACGAAAGGCTACGCTGCCCCTTGATTAAAGAGTTCTTAAAACGATTACACGAAAAGTACAATTTTTTTCTCCAAAAAATCAAATTTATGTCTTTCCTCTAAAAATCTTTTTTTTCCTCCTAAATCCTAGTTTTCCTTACTAAGTCTTCATGCTCCCCGCGCAAATAAATTCAATCAACTAATTAATATTCTTTTTGATGTTTTGAATTTTTATTAATCCTTAAATTCTTAGGCCTAAAAAAGTAAAAAAAAACTCCTTTCAATTTGCCTTAAAATATTGTAAAAATGCACGATAAGAATATATTCGTTAAACATATAAACGTTTCAGTAATTTCCCTCAATATATAGTAGGCAACAATTTTTTTAAAGCTATTAGTTAAATTTTTAAAAATTTTAAAGGTAGGAGTTGCTGTACTGGATGATAGTAGTAAACTTCTAGTTGAACATCAACTTGATGTACTAGGTTGTCTCGACCTTCGACACCTTGCTGTCCTCCAGCAGGATAAACCTGGCAAACTAGGTCTCGAGGCTCTAGCTCTTAACTATCTCGGAGTTCAGCTGGACAAGGTTGGTCATATTGAACTATCCCACCATCTACGGTTAAGATGTTGAAATTTCAAACAATTATTTTTTTCGTCAAAAATGTATCTCAAAGTCTTGTTGAATTTTGATTTTGATTTTGATATTGGCCTCCTTACAAATTCATACATTTTGCTTCAATATTCTTACAAGAAGTGCTCAAGATGAAGTGGCAGTTAGATGTACAACACACTACAGTCTACAATACTGAAAACTCATGTAAATAAGGCTAGAGGATATACAGGTGTGGGAGGGGGGGAATTTTCTTGGAGTCTATGAAGCAAACCCCCCCCCCCCCCC